GTTTAGGGGGAAACTATTATTATGGTGATTCAGTATATTATCAAAATGGACATTTTAAGATGGGTAATGAGTTGAACTTGAATCACCTAAGAGAAATGATGAACCTGAGGGAGCGAAGTAACGGTTTAACCATTTGGAAAAGATGTTTCAGGTTATGCAAGTCAAAGGAAATTTCCTTCTGACAGGGGGTCGAGACGACTACCTGGTTTTGGGTATGAATTTGTATCCTGGTGGAAACAGGAGTATGATTTGTTGTCACCGGAGGAACAGTCGATTGAGAATTGTTTAAGGACTTGTTTAAGGAAAAGTTTATCCCTCCGGCATTTATCGATGGTAGTAAACAAGAGTTTACAAATATGAGACAAGGAAGGTGATGATCGAGGGATATTATAGAAAGTTTTCAGACTTGCCTCGTTCCATCCAGATATTGTTGTTAATATGGTGGAGGTGTTATGTTGTTTTAAGCTGGGTGGCAAAAAAGGGAAGTGGTATTTTGGGTGACCACTATCCATTGTACTTCTTACCAGGAATATACGAGATGCTGTTGAGTCTTGAGGACTCTGAGAACATGAGCAACGAGAATAAAGAAGAATAAGAAATGAATGGGAATCAAAAGAAGATGATAAAGTTAATGATTAGTCATATCAAGGATATAGAAAGATTCAGAGCTTCGAAAGAAGTGAAGCTAGAGTTAATTCTTCCAGCCGAGGTTTTGGTGTCGCTGGTCAGAGTAAAAGTGATGGATATACTGGTAATTCCAGATATTTGAGACAAGGTGTCTCGAGTAAAGGAATTGTACCTTGTGCAGCAGGTAAATTTATGAATGTGTTTATGTGAACAGAGGGGACACAGAATTGTGAATCGTCCCTAGAATTAGTTGTACTCAACAATTTTCCATGATATCATAGTGTCGATTCAGCAGAGTTATGGACTTAGTAGTTTGGTCGGATTGACCGTGAGTACAGAGAGATTTGATGAGTTATATGTTCAGCCGTACAGACCATGAGAAATGGATTCGACTGACACATGAGGAATTGGTGAGTTATAGGTTCGGCCGTACCGACCACGCAGAGTGGATCCGGCCGACGTATTATTGAGATAAGAGTTGAATCAGCCGTATTGATCATTCTAGTTGACTTCGGCTGATATATTTCTTATTATGTATGTTATATCTTTGAGAGTGGTTGCCTACTTATCGAGACAACGATGATTTATCAGTATTGCGGGCTGCAGACTGTAATATTAATAACTCATTCGTGGATTCGTTAAGTAAGTAAACCGGTAGATTATTTTATATTAGTATTGTACTTATTCAGAATGCTTAGTAGTAATAAAGTATGTATTGGGTCAGTTAATTTTATTCCATTAGATTGATTGTTTATAGTTGTGACTAGATGGAATGTTACGGGAAACCAGTTACTTTCCATCGAGTTGATTAATTAGAGGTTACTTTGGTGGGCATACAAAGTGAAGTGAGTTCAGCCATTATTTATGCTGTGAAAGCAAAGATATTGTTTTGAAAGGCTGCCCCAAAAAAAAAAAAAAAAAAAAAAAAAAAATACTTAGTTCATGTGGTGCTAAATGATGTTGTTTGGAGTAGTGTGAATAATGTCGAAAGGGTTAGACTTTTCTTGATGTCTTCCCTGAAAGTATACCTGGATTGCCTTCAGGCAGAGATATGAGATTCACTATTGATTTGTTGCCAAGTATAGATTTATGTTAAAGATTGGTTCATGATGAGTTAAGGGAATTGGAAATTCAGTTGAAAGAATTGGTTGATAAAAATTTTATTCAACCTAGTACAACGCTTTGGGGGAGCCCCAGTTCGTTGGTAAGGAAGAAAATGGGCTTTAAGACTATCCATTGATTATAGACAATGGAATCGGGTAACGATTGGGAACCGTTATCCATCGTGATGTACTGATGTTTATTTAACCAGCTCAGAAGTAATTGCGAAGATTCAAAGATTGAATTGAGATCTGGTTACTACCAATTGAATATTATAAGTGACGTTGATCATAAGATGTTTTTCTGGACTTGTTATAGTCTTTATGAAGTTTGGTGATGCTATATGGATACTCATGCTGTTTTATGAGTTGATGGATGAAGTATTACAATAATGCTTTGATAATTGATATCATTTTCGTTGAAGATATTCTGGCATATTCTGAGCCAGAGCAGAGCATGTAAACGTATTAAGTCGGTGGAATAAAGATTGGAAGAATGTCGATTGTATGCTAAGTTTAGCAAATGCTAAAGTTAGATGAATCAGGTGGCATTTTGAGATTTGTCATATATTCTTAAGGTATTCAAGTGAATCCTTAAAAGATAGCAGAAATTGAGAATTTGGAACAACCACGAGTCGTAATTGAGATTTGGAATTTCTTAGCTTACCAGGCTATCTCGGATGGTATGTGAATACAAGCAAACGAAAAGTATGTGCATAATGCTGTGGGTTTAAGCAAGCAATATTGGACGAAGTTCACTGTTCAGCTTCTGCAATATTTTGAAAGTAATAAGGTTTATCATACCATTCGACATTTTTATTGGTCAGCAGATTGAGGCAGAAAGAAATAAACCTTTGGATTGAGACAGCTATTTTCTGTTTCGAAACGGAAATGGAAAGATGATACTTGGGACTATGTGTACAAGTTTCATGATACATAGGATGGTTATGATTGAATTTGAAGCGATAGTTGGTCAATGTACCAAGTTAGTACATTTACTCCAGGGTTGAGTAACGGTACTTATTTGTTTTATAGAAAGAAGAATTGGTTTACGGAACTGCTGAGTTTCTTAAGTATGTTGGTTGTGCAGTTTCTGAAGTAACGCCATAAGGACCATGAAATGTGTCACGTGAGTCGGTTTTTGATGACTTGTGAATGGAATGTTTCTGGGTAGAGAAAGATTCGATCGAGAAAGAGTTTTAGTAGACCCTGAGACTATGGATGAGTCTCCTCAAAGTATTCAGGTGATTAAGTTAACCTGAAAGTAACCAGGAATGGCAAAAGAGATTAACAGAGGGATATGCCACTAATCGAGTGTATAAGACAGATGGTTTTATATTTTCGAAGTTTTCACCTTGGAAAAGTGTGATTCGGTCTGGATAGGAAGGCAAGTTAAATCCTAAGTGAACCGAATTTTATGTGATCATCGAAAGGTTGGTGAAGTTGAATACATATTTAAATGGCTTCCAGAGTTGTTGTAAGTGCATGATGTGTTTTATGATTCGATATTTTTGGAATTTCACCATGAACAGAAATAGTAAGATTCAGAAAGGAGACAAGATAAGTCTTGAACACATCAGACCGTTTTGATCATTAAAGGAATCGATGAAGTTGCATATAAGTTTGTGATGCCTTCAAAATTGGCTAAGGTGCATAATGTATTATATTTCGATGCGTTGTCACTAGGTGGCAAATTCGTCACATGGGATTCTGGTGTAACTATTGAGAATTAAACTGGATCTAATTAGTGAGGAGCTAATGACGACTTTGGATTGGAAAAAGAAGGTCCTGAGAATTAAGACAGAGTAAGTGGTAAAAGTATTGTGGAGGAAGTATTGTGGAGGAACCATTCAGTGGAAGAAGCTACTTGGGAGACGGAAGAACGGATGAGAGATATGTATCCGAGGCTATTTTATGAGTTTTGATGTTCTGGTTGGTGACTGGAATTTCGGGGACGAAATTCTATAAGGAGGGGAGATTGTCACAGCCCGTCCCGGAATTTTAAATTCCGAGGACGTGAAATTTCAGAAATACCCTTAAACGGGATTAAGGTGTGTAATTGTATGTGTTAATATTATATGGGTTAAGGTAGGGCCTTATACCCTGAAATCCTTCCCCAAAACCCGTTTTTGTTGTCTCTCTCTCATCTCCTTAGTCACTCTCTCTCTCTTATTCTTCTATCATTTCAGACTCTCTCTCTTACTCTCGAACTCACGGCAACCACCAAGAACCACCCCACAATCTTGTACCAACGTTCCATTTAAGACCACCATCGAACTCCTGGAACCTCCACGATCACGTAGACACCAATTTCAGGTAAGTTTTACTTCGGAAAACCTAGATTCTAAACTCCCCGTGAAAGTGTACTATTCATGAGCTTTGAATTGGTTGTGTTTTAGGCCAAACTAAGCTCACAGTGGGCTTAAGGAAGTCCCAAGGAAGCTCGGAGTGCTTCGTTGGAAGTTTTTGGACGTAAGAACACGGAGATCAACAAGTTCAAAGTTTGGCCGGAGCTTTCGAGGCATTTTCCGGCGAATCCCCGGCGAGTTAGGAGTCGAGGTAGGTATCAATCTCTTCGTCTCGTCAAGTACTACAACTTTCCTTTTTGTTTCACTCAATTTCGTTGAGTATTGAAGAAGTTATACTCATTTGAAAAATACCCAGTTTCCGGCGACCTCCGAGGCTTTCGAGGCAGTTTTCGGCCAAACCACGGCGAACTAGGTGTTGTTCAAGGTACCATTCTCTTTTTCTCTTCAAGGGCTACAACTTTCGTTTTTGAATCACTTGATTTCGTTGAGAAATGACAAAGTTATGACAATTTGAAAAACTGCCCGGAAAACGGCCGCCGGAAAAACCAGTCCGGCGACCCAAGGAAGAAGAAGGTGCTACAGTTAAAAAAAAATAAATAAATAAAATTATTTTAAAAATATGTCGACGTCCGTGACGTCGAGTAGATCACCGTGGTATATTCATATACCCAAATTGAGCACCGTATGAGAAAGTTATTAAGGATTGTTGGTTAGGTGTTCGAATAACGTTTTATAGTTTTCACATTTAGGTAAAAATGTGAATTGACGATCCGACCGTTGGATGGTGATGAAATTTTAGGATGTTGTCCTAGAGATATATTGTGGACCTCTGGAAGTTATGGATTTAAAATCTGAGTGGCAGATCTTCCGGATCGAACTACGTAGTGACGTATTTTATATAAGTTATATATTCTATCACTATGAATTCTGAGGTTGGAATTAATTATTGTTTTAGGCGCCGATCGTCATGACGCCTTGGCGTATTGTGCTAGGGAGTTGTAGGGCAAACTCCAGGTGAGTGGGCAGTTTTGTTTTCCGTATACATATATACTTGCCGTTTCCCAGAAATTGAAAATGCATGAAATTATGCTTTTAATGAAAATGTATAAAAGTATATGAGATATATTAGTTGAAATGCCATGCATAAAAGTATATGAAAAGTATATAGAAATGTGAATCGAATTGCCATGCATGAAATGATATGAAAAGTATGAATTGAGATATGATGCATATGAATGAATGGTGCGGCGGACGCACAGGTGAGTATCAGGTGAGTATTTAATTACTGTTATGATGATGTTGATATATATTGAGCTCAAATCCTGCACCATGGTTTAGTGTGCTTATAGTATTCACCGCATCGCACGCTCGCCTTGGATCCAAGTAGATGCTAGTCGTACAGTCCACGCGGAGTGGGTACGACAGGCCAGTCGCGAGAGTGTTAGTGAGATTCCGACTGGTGGGTGACCTTAGATTATGTGCACAGATGATTGATGAGAAAGCACTAGAGCGTAACTTGTGTGCAGAAGGCCGGACGGGTCACAGAGGTGACTCCGGTAGAGTGATAGTGATAGATTTTGAGCTCTAGGTTCAACCGTACAGGGCTATTAGAGGGCCTCCGGTTGATTACTTTCTTGTACCTGATATGATTATTGTTGATGCATCCATACTTAACTGTTGAATTAGACATGGCATGGCATGATTGATAAAGAAAAATGTTGAGATAGTAAAAATGAAGTTTTGAGAATATATATGTATATTTATATTTTACATTTCTGGGAAAGTATACAGGTTTTACGGAGAGGGGTTACAACGTTTTGAGAAATGTTTGGATTTGGAAAAGAATTGTTTTACTGACCCACTCAATTTTGGTTTTGCGCCCCTCCAGGTTAAAGAATAGCTGAGGTGTGGTGGCTACGAGGAATTCGACGGTGTTCTGACAGATTGGACAAAATTAGGACTCCCTTCGGGTGTATCAACTTATAAATTGTATCTTAAAGCTTCCGTACTGTGCAAATGGTTACGTCACTCTCACGTGACGGCCAGCATGCCCTCCTTCGGGACGGGGTGTGTCAGAAACTGTTTAGCTATCTATGGAAATTAAAGAGTTCATTTAATATGGAAACCATTTAGTTATTCAAATGAATAAAAAAAAATTTGATGTTTTATCAAAAAAGGTTTTACTAGTGACCATAATTGTCACTTTGTTCAAACACATATAGACAGGTAGGCTTGGCATTCCAGTTGTGTTTTATGTGTTCGTGTCGTTTTCGTGATATACTGATAGTTTAACGGGTCGTGTCATGTAACATTCATTAAAATAAATGGGTAAAATGATCAAACCTGAATCGACCTGTTAGTATTAATAAGGGATAATATGACTGGACCTATTATCCGCTAAAGGAAATATATTTTAAATCAATAAATAATCAAATGAAAAACATAATACTAAATTAGTATCCACATACCACATTGTCACATAAATATTATTTATCACATTCTGGCCCGAGCCCTTACCACATCCTAGGCTTGACTCTATCGTAGCACGATATTGTCCACTTTGGGCCCCGGCCACGCCCTCACGATTTTGTTTCTGGGAACTCACATGAGAACTTCCAAGTGGGTCACCCATCATGGGATTGCTCTCGCACGAACTCGCTTAACTTCGGAGTTCCGACGGAACCCGAATCCAGTGAGCTTCCAAAGGCCTCGTGCTAGGTACAGATGGGAATATACATATAAGGTTTAGAGGATCTACTCCCCTGGGCGATGTGAGATGTTACAATCCACTCCCCTTAGGGGCCCAACGTCCTCGTCGGCACACTTCCGCCCAAGGATTGGCTCTGATACCAAATTGTCACATCTCGGCCCGGACCCCCACCACATCTCGGGCTCGACTCCACCGTAGCACAATATTGTCTGCTTTGGGCCCCGACCACGCCCTCACGGTTTTGTTTCTAGGAACTCACACGAGAACTTCCCAGTGAGTCACCCATCATGGGATTGCTCTCGCACGAACTCTCTTAATTTCGGAGTTCTGATGGAACCCGAAGCCAGTGAGCTCCCAAAAGGCCTCGTGCTAGGTAAAGATGGGAATATACATATAAGGCTTAGATGATCCATTCCCCTTGGCGATATGGGATCTTACATTATTTCTAAACATAGAAACACTTTGTCTTTCAAGTATTACACTCCCCAAAATAAGAGCCTAATAAAAAAATATTAGTACATTACTACAAAATAGTCTTTTAATTAATCTAGAAGTATAATAAATATAAAAAAATATTTATAAATGCTCGTAATGATAAGATCTACAAGTTTTGTGAAGAGGTCAACTCTGAAACTTGCCACTATAATCCCATAAACCCTAGATTTAAATTTAACTATTGATTGTCGTTTACGTTTACATTTACGCTCCATTCTTCTCACCGAATTTCGTTCTTTCAGATTTTGTTTTTTGAAAACATGATCTTTTAGTAGATGCAAAAAGATGAATGGTTTGGATCGTTGGTATCATGTTCAGTTTTTTATGGTTAGTGAAAATATTGCTCATAATTTATAAAGACTCTATAAACTATATAACATCGATTCACATTTCAGTTAACTGTAAACATTGGAATATTATATACATCAACAATCCGAATTGTTCATTTTTCTCCATCAGTAAAAGATCATACTTTCAAAAAAGAAATTTTGAAAAACGAAATCCGGTTATAAGAATAGAGCATAAACAACAATCGACAATTAAATATAAATCTAGGATTCATGGATTATGGTGCCGGATTTTGGAGTTGAGCTTTTCACGAAAGTTGTAAAACTTGTCATTACAAGCAATTATTTTTTTAACATCTTTCACACATGTACATTAATAATTATGAATTTTTATAAATTTTGCATTAAAAAAAAAAAAACAAAAAACTATTTATGAGGGTTTGGAGAGTTTTAAAAATCTAAAACTACGATGTAATTATTGTCTAAGCGTAGGACGCAATCATGAACATTTATATATTCTTCACATTTTTCAACTTGTTCATTAATTATTATATTTATTTTGAACTCCCCCTAAAAACACTATTCATGAGGTTTGTATGGTTTTGAAAGTTCAAACGATGATATACCCATCGTCAAAGGTATTTGATATCGAATGAGGATCCTCTCCGGATCCTCTTTGTGAGGATCCTAGGGATCCTCAAATTGTGTTCATTCATCGTACATTGTAGAGCTAGAAATCATTTTAAATACTTTTATTTTAAATTAAATATAAATAGTACTTGACGAAACTGACTACATGATATACGATGTGTAAGATCCCACATCGACCAACGGAGAGGGGGTGATGTGCCTTATATGTACATGCTCCCCTCCCTATAGCATGTGGCCTTTTGGGAACTTACTGGCTCTGGATCCCATAAGAACTCTGAAGTTAAGTGAGTTTGGACGAGAGCAGTCCTAAGATAGGTGACCTCCTGGGAAGTTCTTGTGCTAACCCAAAAACAAAACCGTGAGGGAATGGTAAGCCGCCACTCCCTGGCCAGAAGTGTGCCGACAAGGACATCGGGTCCCTAACAGGGGTGGAATGTAGTGTCCCACATCGTCCAGGGAAGAGGATCCTCTATGTCTTATATGTACATGCTCACATTCCATTGTAAGACTCGTTTTGGGAACTCACTGGCTCTAGATCCCATAAGAATTCAGAAGTTCAACGAGTTTGGGCAAGAGCAGTCCTAGGATGGGTGATCCACTGAGAATTTCTTGTGCCGAAACCCAAGGACTGGGATGTGATACGATAAACGGACATGATTTGAGGATCCGGAGATGATCCTCCTAGTTTGATGTCTACTCATTAATCCTTTTTTTTTTTCATCTCTCCGTTGGTACATTTTTTTCCAAGTTTTCTTGATGCTTTTGTATTGTTGTCAACTTATTTAGATAGATAAAAGTAATTGAAATTCATAATTATATTGAGCTACTTAAGAATTAATGATTAATGAAATAAGTCGGATTTTCCAATTTAGATGTAATGTGAATTTCTAACTACGCTTACTAGTGCACAAAAAGATTTTATATAACCTCTACAATTCTATTACATTCGTAATTTTGTTGTTGCTACTGTTTATTTTCTAATTGTTATTGTTTTTAATTTGACAACTATATTACTTTGTAAATTTGCATCTGGGAATTTGGGACTTTTGAATTGAATTGGACTTCAAAATTCAGGCTTTATTGTTCTTTTTTCATAAGGGACAAGGGGACCGTAGTGTCCGGCCTGGCTCCTTCCAATTGCTCTGAGCAGTGAGAAATGGTCATCATTAGCAAGAAATGGGCGTTGGAACAAGTCTACCTTGAATTTTCAGTTAGAGCATGTTGCATTTGCAATTGCAATCTGGTTCTTGATTTGTAGTGTGTTGCTCGCCAAATCTCTTATGGCATGACTAAGTTTTCCCTTTCGCAATGTTCTTTAATCCAATTGTCAGTAACCAGATCATATGGTTTACAAATTTTGGTTTAAGTAGTTGGTCTCTCTAGTATTACCCATTAACAAATTACTTATCATTGTGAATGAAATTAATAAATTTGTAAAAGAAAATTGCCAACCAATTTGTCCACAAAAGGGGCATCATTTGAGATTTCGCCCTGAGCTTTTGAAACCTATGGATTGGCCCGGTAAATAGATGACTAAACGTTCTTCATATTGATTTTTTTTTTTCTAGAAATGGTTTTTAATTTTGACAAATGCAATAAAAATTTCATTTATCAAAACAAACATATACAAGAAGGTGCCATATAGGTACATTTCTTCTGTAACCAATCTCTTGATCATGAGATAAATTCTCACAAATTTGCAAATAAGGAACCTCTACGTGGCTACCACAACAATAACCATGAGCAAGCAGTTCAGATCTGCCACAAAGATGATAGATGCAACATACCTAGTTGTAGGGCGCACAAAATCCATTACATTAATAACAAGGTCACAAACAACTCGTTGAAATGATTCGACCCAGACCCACTAATCAGAACAAAACAAACAAATAAAAATTACCTAATCCAAGAACAAAACCATCAATCAACAAGTCTCCATGGTGAGGTGCATATCGCTTCTAGAGAAATCTTTAGCTGCCATGGGAGCAACCACCACAAATTTGGCAAAGTAAGGTGGCTTAGTCACAGTCAATCAAGGAGCGTGCAACCACCATGAAAATCAAGCTATATGATGTGTATCAGCCTCCAACACAACTAGAAGTCCTACCCAAAACCATAAAACTAGCCCAAAAATCCTAGATTTAGGAAGAAAACTCTTACAAACGTTGGAGGGTTGTCTGGACAACGGTGGGAATGGGAGGGGAAAGCATGTTAGGCATCACCAAACCCAGTGAAATTAGGAAAAAAAATCAAAGAAGTACATTGGAAGTGTGAGAATGGGAAGAGGGAGGCGGATAGGTGAAGGAGGGAGAGGAAGTGCAGAGAGTGGTAGGGGAAGAAAAACTAGGAAGGAAAAAGGGAGAAAGGCTAGAGAATTGGGAGAAGGTGGGAGAGGGGTTTCCACCAACCCTAAGTCGGAGCTAGGAGAGAGAGAAAATGATAAACCTAGAAATTTATTTTAGATGATGATAAAGAGAATGAACACTTTCGATTAAGAGGTTGCATTGTAAAATGATGACACATCATCATTAAAGAATAAATTATTCGTTAGCTAATTTTTGTGTATATCCCAAACAGATCCTCATCTTCATGAATGGTATGGGCCCATATAAAATCCAAATAAAAAATTTTCATGTGATCTTTATGCAAGACTTTTCTAGTTTTATTACCACAGGATATTGAAGCTCCTAAATGTTGGTTCAACACTTTTGTTGATGTGGGACCATGATTTTCTAGGACTGGAATAAGGTAGATCCAAATACAGATACCTTAGAAGTCTGTCACGGACTCACTAGGTCCCTGGCAGAGTTGGTTCAGATGGAGCAACGTTGCCACCATCACCCTGTTCCGGGACACTGGGTGGAGTTCTAACGACTCTGCAAGATGACCATGCTTGTTTTGTAAGACACTCGGTCTGATCCGGATATGGACTCAATTAGATCCTTTAAGTCTTAGAGTTTCTACAATTTAGGAAATGGCGTG